CACTACCTTTCTCGTCGAGCAAAACACGCCAGAGGGCACTGTACATCAACCCAGTATTTGCGACAAACGAAATACAAATTGGCAGTCTGATCAATGAGGAATTCGTCGGCGTGCGACATCTGGCGGAGGCTGAAAAGTTCCCGTTTCGCCCCGGGGGCAAATTCACGTTTGCGTTGTTGTGTCAAGACAAGGCATTCAAGGTCTGGTGGAAGGGCAGTCGAGGGGAAGGAGGAACAATATACGAGTACCAGTACGATGTGGAGAAGATCAAGTATTTGCGAGTTTACGACTGCCATGCTGTGTACATCGCCCTCGGGTTCCGATTCTGGAATTCATGAAACGATCATGTTGAAGTGGAGAACGATTTTACAAATTGTTTTTCTTGCCATGACATTTTTTTCTGGCTCGGAGTGAGGCATTTGATAAATATCGTTTAGGAAGAAGAAATCCGATTCTAGAATTTTTGTTGAAATAGAAACACAGCCGATTCCATCTCTTTCCGAGAATAAACCTGTGTGTAAATACATCTGAAGATTGAGCCTCTGCGAAAATATTTTCGGAATTTTCAGTGATTTCTTAGAAGGATTGGGTTTTCAGCAATTTTCTGGAGCCAATCACATCCTTTTATGTGCTGATTTATGGTGATATTCATTCAGGGAATGTAAGTCACTTGGAAACTTTAAAAAATACATTTTTTATCCTTGAAAAGGATACCTCTGGTTACACAGAAATCTAAATAAATGTTTCACGCAATTTCCGTGGGATCGATGCCATTCATTTCTGTGAGAGTACTGTCCAGAAAAATCAAATAAAAAATCATGGAACACTTGGGGGAACCCCATTGTATTGATTATCTTGTGGCGCAGTTACATCATATGCGCATTTCCGCCCTAATCCACTAATAAATCAAGAGTGGATTACATCGAATTATTGTTCATGCCCAGAATATGAAGGTTGCAGTTATCGTTGCAAGACATGGATCAGTAAATTTTTAATCCACAGCATCAGGAAATAGACAGAAGAACACTTATTGTAGAGAGGCTTCAGTGATAATTCTGTCAACTTTATTGAAATGTTCTTCAAACGCTTTTGATTTGCGCTGCTAAATTCTCCATAAAAATAATTGAATTATATCAAGTATTATGTGAAGCCATCAGAAAAAAAAATGAAGCCGGGAGTCCGTAAAAGAAGAAGAATACTATTCTGTATATTGATCAAACCGGTTCACACAGAAACCCTCTGCTCAACTCCGGGTTCCCCTGGGTTGCGCCAGTCAGTTTTGGTGGTGAATTGCGCTACGAAACATATTTCACGTGCATTTTCAGAAGAACAAACATTATTCTAATTGCAATAAATTAATCCATCGCGAAAATTGAAATGTCAACTGCTGAATTGGTGGAACAGCTGCTCAAATCGGCAACGATCCAAGATGTGGATTCAGAAATCCCACCCCTGGAGGATTTCTCGCATGAATTAGCTTCCTTAAAGTCAAGTAACAATCAGAAGAATCATTCTAAAAGAATCACTTTCAGTAGTGCTCTAACTGACGAAGGACTGTCGCATAGTCGGCACAAAATGCTGAACAAAATCGGCGAGATGATGTTCAATTCCAAGGCAGATAATCACGACTCTGATGACGACGACGACGACGGAGACGTAAATGATTGCGAAGACGATAAAAAACGGAAAGACGCTTTTTGTGGGTTCAAACCTGGGTTTTTCTCGGCAGAAAAGGCCAAACAACCCGAAGAACAGCTGATTGAAGTCAAGGCACGAAAGGTACGTAGCTACTTACACATCAGAATCGCATAATCGAAAAAAAAAAGATTGAAGAATTACGAATGCTAAAATTTTAATTTTTTTTTTCATTTCTAGGCTTCAAAAGCTCCAATCATTCTTGACAGAGCTCAGCAAAAAGCCGCTTTGCAACCATTTGCACGTCCTCCAAATCAAACGGAGCAGCAACACATGCAAGCAATGGCATTAGCATCTGGTCTAACTGACAAACTTTTGGATCAAGTCAAGCAAGATCCTGAACTGTATTCTCTTCTCGAAGATCCGGAATTTTCAAACGTGCTTTTGCAATTTCAATTCACGCCAGAAACTGCAATTAAAAGATATCAGAACGACGAAAGAATCA